TGACCACACTTCACCTAAATTAACAGCAGGGAAAGGTACCCCTCAGTTACTGATTGATGCGGAAAAGTCTACTGCGCNCTAATCTAACCTAGTCTAGTCTAGCCTAGCCTCTCCTCGCTTCGCCTCGCCTCGCTTAGCCTCGCCCCATCTCGCCGCACATCAATTTACGTCAAGTCACGCCTAGTCACGTCAAATCATGCCAAGTCAAAAAAGTCACATCAAGTCTCGTCACGATACATCACGTCACCTAACCTGAGCTCAACTCACATCAACTCACCTCACCTCACCGCACCTCACTTCACCTAATAACAGGGAATGGTACCCCTCAATTACTGATTGATGCGGACAAGTTTACTGCGCAAACTTAAGCTAACCTAACCTAACCTAACCTAACTTAGCCTAGCCTAGCCTAGCCTAGCAAAGCCTCGCCTCGCCTCGCCTCACGTCAAATTACGTCAAGTCACGTCAAGTCACGCCAAGTAACGTAAAGTCACGTAAAGTCTCAGCAAGTCACGTCAAGTCACGCCGAATCACGTCAAGTCATCTCACGTCACTTCAACTCACATCACCTCACATCAACTCACCTCAACTGACCACACTTCACCTAAATTAACAGCAGGGAAAGGTACCCCTCAGTTACTGATTGATGCGGAAAAGTCTACTGCGCATACCTAACATAAACTAACCTAACCTAACATAAACTAACCAAACCTAACCTAACGTAACCTAGCTTAGACTAGCCTAGCCTAGCCTAACCTAACCTAACAAAACATAACCTAACTAAAACTAGCCTAGCCTAGCATAGCCCCGCCCTGTCTCGCCTCAACACAATTCAAATTTCGTCAAGTCACGTCAAATCACGTCACGTCACGTCACGCCAAGTCAAGTCAAGTAACGCCACCCCAGGTCACCTCACCTCACCTCACCTAATTTAACGGCAGGGAATGGTACTCCCCAGTTACTGATTTATGCGCACAAGTCTACTGCGCAAATCTAACTTAACCTAACCTAGCCTAACCTAACCTAAACTAACCCAACATAACTTAACCTAAACGACTCTAACATAACTAAGCCTAACATAACCTAACTTAATCTAAACTAACCTAGCTTAGCCTAGCCTAGCCTAGCCTAACCTCGCCTCGCCACGTCTCACGTCGACTCAAGTCAAGTCAAGTCACGTCAAGTCACGCCAAGTCACGCCAAGTCACGTCAAGTTTATTTGTGTAAAGCCAAGTCACGCCAAATCATGCCATGTAACGTCACGTCACGTCACTTCACCTCACCTTACATCACCTAACTTAAGTGCAATCGCCATTATTCGACGCAGGATAGTACACATATTAAAACCTACCATCTGCACTATCTCACTGAATCTTTTAAGATATACTATCAAGCAGATAACTAATCAGAACTTGTACATATATATATAAACACACACACACACACACGCACATAGAAGTCTTGTTTTAATAAACAACTCTTCATACCAGGAAACAAACCTACCTTGAACTACGTATGTACACTTGATGTTGTATGATAAACCTTTGAATATATTTTTCTGTTAAATTCTCTACGTAATCTTTGAGACCTCGAATATATTACGATATTTCTAATGTTCGTAAATGCGGTTTTCGAAGTAATGACATTTCAGAACGAATTCAATTGCATGACATCCTTGTTATTTTGAGTGACTCGTACATATTCAAACAGTTCCCGAAATATTATCTTTTCAAACGTTGTCAGTATTAACTTTATTGTGCTTCCCAACATATAAAAGGTATCCACCCGACAATAATAGTGCTCAAATATTAGATAGGGAAATCAGTGATTACGAATTGGCCTAAGGAAACATCATTCGACACTGTTCTATGTATTAAAGCACAAAACGAAAACATCACTATATATCTTCTAGATTAAACTATAAAATACAATTACAAGAATGTCTTCAGTCACAAATCGTGCTCACCCGTACACAATGTGATTCTGTAAGCACTTTAATAAATGGAAAGGTAATAATTCCCTGAAGCTGTATACTTACTACCTGCTCAAAAATGTAAGCCTGGAAGATCAGACAGAAGAGAATGCAAACCGTTGCTTATCACACCAAAATACACTTCTAACTAGAAATCACTTGCCATCATTCTTCATGCTATAACATTTAAACTAACACCGCTGTGCACAAATTTTACAAAGTCAATAAACAGGATTGCTAGTTTTTTTTTTTATTTGTTTCATTTTTGGTCCGTCACACTAACAGTTACAATTATAAAAGACAAGTCCGTCCAGTGCGACTATTTCAGTTTTCTCACTTGATGATTCACTAGCCTTACATGTTTCGATCCATTTGGATCATCTTCAGAAGCACCAAACTCTTTTTAGAAACCACTGTCACAACAGTTGCCATATCAATTATACATGTATTGCCAAGTATACAATGTTCCATCATCAGTCACAGCAGCCAAGGAAACATAACGGACAATATTAAGAATCTCCTTACTCAAGTTACATAGGTGGCACAACATCGGCCACCTTGAAGAGAGACGACAGGGGTTATTGACATGAACCGTATGGTTTATGTATTTTAATTTTTAACAAAGTTTTTAAAACTTTAAAACAACTTTAAATATTTCTATAACCAGAAAGACTGCTGTGACTGATAGATGGAACATTGTGTACTTGGCAATACATGTGTAATTGATAAGACAACTGTTGTGATAGTGGTTTCTAAAAAGTGTTTGGTGCCTCTGAAGATGATCAAAATGGATCGAAACATGTAAGGCTAGTGAATCATCAAGTGAGAGAACACTGGACGGACTTGTCTTTTGCATTATAAAGATGGTAGCAAGTTGTAACTTGACCCTAATGTTCGGGCGCAGGCACCTCCATCACGCCCCATGCAATTCTGAGAAAGGAAACTGAAGAAATGAAGGAAACAACAAAGGATAATAACGATTGAAAGTATTCTTACAAATTGTTTTGTCCTGAGTATTCTAAAACGATCAGTAAACACAGTCTTAAATGGCTTCAAGTCAAGTTTTTGTGTAAATGTTCCGGCTGCCAAACATTGTGAAGTATTGTGCTCCTCCATGGGAGAAGCATCTTTCTTGGCGCTGACCTGATATATGAATGGGGTAAAGATGGCTAAGGGAGTGTAAGAGTGCTCAGGGCAGACTTTAGATGCTGGCAGCTCGAGGCGGAACAGCGTCCATGCGTACCTATTCACAGCTGGGTTTTTGGTACGAATAAGTATGCTATTATCATTGTAAAGAATTCGTGTGTAAATGACGCTGAAACGTGCAGCATTACAATGAAGCACACTGTCCATTAATGCAAAGTGTGATTCATGTCGTCTCTCAGAGTGTGAAGCTGTGGATCTGAAGTGTGCTGCCACTTAGTGACGACTTCTTGAAATACGTCAGCAGTGGCCACGAATGCTCATGCAACAACAACTGACAAGGCCGAACACACCTTCGAAGCTACTAGAAATTATCCGCATAGGGAACAGAAACTGTCGTATCACTGCGCATAAAAAAGTTTAAATCCGGGTGAGGTTCGTGGGGCAGATTCATGAGCAACGGAGGTATGTCAGGCATCGAACCTCCATTTCCGAAAAGATTCCAGCTTATTATCAGAGAAGCAGCTGAACTTGTAAAAATGAGTTATTAAATTAAGGAAGAGACTACAGTATACTTTCCATGATACAGGAAATACAAAAGAGGCGGCAGAGAATTTTGATATGTCTAGAAATTACACTGTTAATGCTATAGGTGCGAAATAATTTCAAATTAGATGCACGTGTTATGAAAATTAGCGTGTAACGCCGAAGCTGCGCATAACTGCTGATCACAGTAAGTTACCATCACAAAACGATACCCCTGAATTTGTTAGCGCGCGTGCACAAAACAATGGAAGCATGACAGCTGCTTTGATGGACGACTGGGTGGTAGATGTATGGGAAAAACATAACACATCAAGCATGTTAGCCCTTGACACCTTTCGTGGGCGCTTATCTCAAGAGCTGACGGCTAAACATGAGACGAAGAAGTGTGACTTGGTTGTGATTCCAGGCGGATGACCAGTCAATACCAATCACTCTGTGTTTAGGTTAATAAATCACTACAGATTATCGGCGAAAGGAATACGAGACTTGGTTTCCATCTGAAACCTTCCACCTACACCTTCTGGTATGATTAAGAAGGCATCTGCTTCAGAACTTGTAGAATGGATCTTGGACGCTTGGACGAAATGGCAGGGAAGGCAACGAAACAGTTGGTCAAACAATGCTGAATTGCAGATGGCACTTAATGGAACACAAGACGATGCTTTAAGGAACAATTGGAAACTTGACCGCTCTGATTTAAACAACTATTTTACAAGAATCAGCAGGCCCAGAATGTGAAACTGGACGCATAAGTGAAGAAGACAGTGAACAGGTACATCTCTTTAATTTAAACTCTTAGTTTCATGTGGATTTCTGTTTAATACAGAGAAATTTCGTGTCTGAATATTGACATTTTCTGCTATATGTGCTTTTTCCTGGAAAACTATTACTAAATGATGGACGCGTCTTACATTCCGTAATTTATTTTTCCTGAAAACCTGTTACTGAATTAAGGGCTCTGTTTATAATATATTTCTTCTGAGAACTGAGGAGATAGGTACATTCAGTACTGGCAAGCCCTAGCTTTTCCCTTAGCATTCTCTATTCAGCATAGATTTCTGTAATTCATAATCTGCAGTTGATAGAAAATCTGCAAGTTCTGAAAGCGGAGCTCTGCCGCTTTTACCCTTCCAAACAATCAGTGATCATATCTTTGAATATACCAAAAACGTATTGACTTCATGTCCATCTTTCACGCAGTATATACATGCAGTCACAACAGCTGCAGATGTGTCACTGATCGCTGAGCCTCTGCTGATAAAGTCGCCGGATCTGTTTACACTTCGTCTCCTGCGTATCTCATTCTGGCTAAAAGCCAGTATTGGGTTTAGCTCCGTAGTGTTGCAGCAGACGTTCAGCCGGTGGGAGTAAAGCAGAGGGATTGTGTCCACGGGAGTTACAGCGGAACAGATTCCACGGGAGACAAACACCAAGAACTAGGTAACGTATTATAACTGTTACACATGAGCATGAAATTAATATAGTACAATATTACTATGAGTGTCGGGTGAAATTCAGACACGATAATTAGACTTGATCGACCATAGACAATCCATCTTTAATTTCAGAGAGGTTCACGTACTGATTGGTTGAGGGTAACTTCGTAGGAGAACCTGAAATTGCGACACTGCCTAATACTAAAAACTGCAATCGACCTGATCTTAAGCGAGGACCAAAGTACACGTATTCTTATCCTAACACCGTGCTTTCGCAATATCCATGTTAATGTTATCATTCTGGATCATAGAAGTGGATATTTTCAAAGATACTTCTCTATAAAAATCAGCAATGATCTCTTGTCTCCCCCGTGTAGTATCAAGCCGAACTAATCGGGACCTCCCAGATATGTAACAGTTTTCATGCCACCAACCATTCCACGTTAATTAATTTTATTACAATCGACATTGCTTTGTCTCGATACTGATAGCGTCGTTAAATAACCAATTCAGAAACAATATTCGTCGGCCTGAATTAATCACGTAACTCTTAGTTATATAATAATTCTAATGTCTATTCGAATTTCGACCATCTTAGGTTAAAGCTTTTTCATTAGCACCTTTTTCAGGTACAGCCTATTTCATTTTCTCAGAGTAAGAAGCCGCTTTCCATACCCATACAAACAACTGGACAAATGAATATTTTGTACAACCCGATCTCAAGTGTTTACAGAATGACAAACATTTTCGGTCCGAATAATAGAACCACTTCCAGAATTCGCTCTTCTCCTAAGAACTATCCCCATGGGATTTAGTCCTAGAGAAGCCGCCATTCACGCACCTACTCAATAATTTCCCAGGATTTTATGAAACCGAAAGGTTCATTTCCATGTTTACAAGAGCACTGCACTGGTCCCTGTACTAAGTTAGATCAATCCAGTGATACTACCCCCATCCTATCTCTCCAAGATCCATTTTAATATTATCCTCTCACATGCGTCTCCATCTTCCTAGTGGTCTCTTTCCTTCTGACGTTCCCATCAAAATCCTTTATGTTTACGATATGCACTGCCCATCTTATCCTCCCTGGCTTGATCATTCTAATTATACATGGCGAAAAGTACAGATTATGAAGCTCCTAATTATGCAGTTTTCTCCAACCTCCTGTCAGTTCATCCTCCTCCAGTCGAAATATTCTGAGATTATGTTATCAGAACCCTCAGTCTGTGTTCGACCGTTAATGTCAGAAACTTTCACGCCCATACAAAACCAAAGGCAAAATTATAGTTCTCTAAATTCAGATTTTTAGTTTTTAGACAGCAGACGAGAAGACGGAAAGTTGTGAGCTGGTTGTCAACAAGCATTGCCCGAATTCAGTCTCCTCTTAATTCCTAGTTCCATCATAAATTTAACTTCTGTTGGGTAGTGTTGTTTTCATATAGTTTCATTTACAAATATTCCCAAACTGATTACCATATTGCATACAGTTAAGTCGGTTCCTGATTTTGGACATGTTCATTAGTATATTTTGTCTTTATTTGCTCCACGTTCGGGGGCTCGCGGTAGTGTAGTTGGCTGAAGCGCTATGCTACAAGCCGGAAGGTCGTGGGTTCGAGTTCCGATGAGGTGGATTTTTCAATTAACGTAATCCTTCAAGCCACACTATGGCCCTGGGTTCGACTCAGACTAATAGAATCTACCAGGAATTTTCCTTGGGGGTGTAAAGGGCGGCCGGCACGTAAAGCTGACAATCTTACCCCAATCTGTGAGCCAACTGTCAAGACAAAATGTGGGAGCGTTGACCTCTCACAATCCTATGGGCCTTCACGGCCTGTTACAGGGAGAGCTTTACCTTTTTACTTCACGATAAATTTATTTGCCGGGATGTATAATTCCTGTGTAATTCGTCATGGCATTTACATTCTTCCCCAGCAAATAAACAGTATAACCGGAATTCGAGTTCCACCAAGGAAAGGCTGCACTCGTCAATAAAGAAGGAAACAGTGACATTAAATTGAGAGAAGACCGAAACGTGAACGCAGAGTATCAATGCAAGAAACACTGAACGATACGGAGGTCCGTCTCAACTTTCGCCTCAAGCCTCTCCTGCTCCAGGCACAAGAAACTTGAGTACCAAAAGAAGTCGCGAGGACAACAGGATTATGTGAGATTTAGGTGTTCACACCGGCGGTTATGAAGAGTTGTATCTTCTGGGATGTTACGCAATATTGTCCGTTGGAAGTCAATCGACGTTTCGAAGAAACCTGATGCCTTCATCTTCAAGGTCGGAGAATAAATCAAGCAAGAAACCAGCGTGAAAGCAGTGACTTTTAACGGACTACACGGCGTTATATCGCAGAATATAGAACTGTTACTCCGAAACGTCGAGCGTTCTGCGAACTACACGGAGTTGCAACCCATAAGACCATACTCTTCATTGACCACTGCTGTAAGGACGACAGATCCAATATGGATCCTGTTTGCAGATACATTTGAAGAGTGTGGGCGAAAAAGTTGATAGCCCATATTTCATTGAAAAATGAACTATTACATAATATCGTCACGATTTAGGGCTGTGTGTGTCTATAGATGGATGGGATTAATTGAATTTATTGACCACTTGTATGCACCACTCTGATCTACAATTTGTAGAACACTGACACACAGACTAGTGTCCTCAGCCTATTACAGTTTACAGTAGCCGTTTCCTGGCAACGGCTTCTACCGAGGGAGATTCTTCAGCTTCCCGCACTCAGATCCTTTTGTCAAAACCGCCCGTGCAGAACTCTTGTGAACTGACAACTCAACTACTGTGTTCTAGGCTGGCGACCATTTCACATCAACCTTCTAGTCTTCTCTTTACAGACTGACTTCCTACGTCCAACTGAAATTTCTCACTCAGCAACCACTGCTTCACATCACTTCACTCAATTGAACTGGTGACAACTCTCTTATAGCTGCTGACAACTCCGACCAGCAACTAACTCGTTGATTAAGACTGTCCTGCTTATAACATCTCGGCACGGACCACATAGAAAACACTGTTCTATTTGGTATCCGTTGCAGCGGAAACGTGTTTACCAAACTGTTGCTTAGAAACAGTTTGCATAAGACTGTTCTGTTGTTGCGGGCGTTACAAATAACGGCCGCTGTTTACGGAGTCACAGCATAGCAAGAGGTCCATAATCCGTAATGTTATCATGACTACTATGACGCAGCTCTCATAAACTGAGATACATGTATCGAAAATTGAAAACGTGACACTGTCAATGTGCTGTAGCTACGTGATAACGGGAGGTTAATGAGACGGAGCTACGCGGAGGTACAATTAGTCTTTGAGGGAAAGAAATACGAGAAATGCCTTCTAATTAAGCATCCTATGCTTCGTGGAGGACGTGGCTGGCTAGTTGTAACATGTAATATGTTCTAACTAAACAGAAAGGGGCTGGCAGAAGGCAGCGAGACTCTTCAAATTCCCGTGCGTGAGCCATTAGGAGTCCAAGCAGGAAAACAGATAATCGCAATTTTCTTTTCAGGGTCCTATTACTGTCTTCAGTTGCTCTTGCTACTTAAGAGGGGTTGCGTTCCTTTATGTGGGTTCTCCAAAGCGTGCTTAAAATGAATACACGCTGCTAACGTCATGTCGGTTCCTCTGTCAATACGTGTGTTTCATCTAAGACACTACTTGCTTGTTTCGGTTGTATTTAGCGAAGCGATTCTAAGCTAAACGTCCAGCGATTTTTATTTTTGTTCTTGTGCGTCCAATATAATCGTCCTTTATATGTAACTTAAATTTTACATTTGAATACTTTTCTTAAAATGTAAAAAAAAAGCAAATTAAATATCCCACCGATTTGTATAAATTTTCATTTAAAAAATTTCATGAAATGAAATACAAGGGAAAATATTTATGACTTTATGTAGTGTATGAACAGCTTTGCAGCAATTAATTTGGACCTACGATGTTCCCGGACTACGTCAAACAAGAAATGCTTGCTTAACTTACTCAATTTTGGCTGCCATATTCTTCAAAATAGTCTCCCTGGGAACATATATAGAGATCCATTCGTTTTTCCCAAGCTTCAGAAGCACCGTGGAAGTCATTTTCCTTAATGCTGTCGAGTACCGCTTGTGATTCCCCTTGGATGTCAGACACTGTTTCAAAACGTCGTCCCTTCCCCTTCAGTTTCATTTTCAATTTGGGGGGGGGGGAACGGAATAAGGACTATGGCGATTCGAGTGATCTAGACTGAAGTGCCCATGACATGCTTGCAGATGCACTTCGATGCACTGCAGACTGACAGTAAGGACGAAGAGAAAACATTTTATATTTTATAACTTGAGCTAATAAATTTACAATGTGATTCTAAATTATTTTCGGGGTTTCCGTGGCGTATAATTTTTCAATCGGAAAAAATAAAATAAAACTGCTTACGGAATATGAAAGTGTAACTCAGAACGTTTTGTGACTCATAGAATCAATACTGCTGAATGCTAAACAACTTCAACATGTGCGCCTTTCGTGGCACCCCGACATTGGGCTCGTATTGTTCAAAATTTCTTGACGTGCATTTTCCTGGGCACTGGGTTAGTCGTGATGGACCAATTCCGTGGCCTCCACGCTCACCCGATATTACGCCTCTTGATTTCTTCCTGTAAGGATACGTTAAGGACATTGTTTACCAGACCCCTATGACCTCCCTCGATTAACTGAAGCTCAGAATTGTTGCTGAAATCGAAACAGTTACACCGCAAATGCTGGAGAACGCTTGGAGGAAAATTGAATACCGCTTGGACATCTTACATGCCAAGAAAGTTGTTTAGAATTTTGCAGTATTGAGTCAGCAAGTAATAAAACTTTTGGGTTACACTGTCATGTTGTGTCAGCAGTTTTATTCTGTTATTTTCAGTTTGAAAATTATAGGTCAGAGAAACTCCGACAACAATATAGAATCACCCTGTACTATCTGGAAACGTATAAACAGTGAAATTTAAAAGAATTTG